TACAAACAAACTTTTGTCAAAAATTTTGAAAATAACGACTTGGTCATGTTTTAATGAATAAAATGAATATGTTTCACCGCGTAGTTTTTAAATTTTTATTCAAAGTTGTGCAAAAATGGAATTTGAAGTGAAAAATATTTGTATAGAATAATAAGGATGGTTTCAGAAGGGTAGAATTTGAACGTCACAGAAAGTTTACAATTTCTTTATATTCTAGAAATTTATTATTTGCATTATTTACAATGAAATTATGTCAAAAAATATATACCAATCCAGGCATCCATATTTTTGTTTGTATCATCTGTCCTTAATAAGATGATTTTTTCATCAGAAAAAAAAATTGAAATTTTTTTCTGCCGTATTAAGACATTGCCATTACAATTGAAGTTCCCGCCGCGAGGAGATGCTCCGCTTGTTTCTCAATACCTTGCCTCTTTATAGAATTTTCGATTCGTAGAACATGGTCTTGAATTTTGAATCAACTTGGAGATATTGCAGATATATTACTACAGGAATAAGGGAAGTTGAAAACGTCAACTAGTAAAAGTTTATTGTTAGATTAACATTAACGTCCTCTCTTAATAAACTATCTAAATATCAGGCAGACGATTCAGGCTGTGTTTTGTCTTTTATTTCAAGTTCACAGGGATATATCGTGTCGACAAATGAAGAGATGTAACTATTGTTTATTCAGTTAAACATTTGAAAATATTTCGATATATCTTAATGTCGAATTAAAGGCCACGTTAAGTTTTTTCTCTTCTCTTCCATGCATAATTCGTTTTAAAAAATTCTGCTTCAAATGAACACAAACACAGTCGGTGTAATATTTGAATATACAATAAGATGAATACGGACACCGTTGGGTGTATCAAACACAATTTAGTCCAAACAGTGACATTCAGACATAACGGTGAAATACAATGGACAGATAACCCTATTACAGAAATGATCTCCGAAAACTACAAAAGAAGAATTTTTAAAGAAAAACCAATTTTGTATAAAACCAATGACAGGTACTATATATAGTAATTAATTTTCCGTTTTTTTGTTTTTGTTTTTTTTTTTTTTTGTTTTTGTTTTTTTTTTTGTTTTGGTCCATGATGCTAAAAAACAGGATTTTAACTTTATACATGAGGAACGATTAAAATGCATACATTTTTGATTCTTGTGGATTCTTTCTAAAACTAATTCTTGGAGTTTTAAAGCATCCACATCTGCTTTATACCACTCCTGTAATATATATAAGTACAGTACATCTGACATTCTCCTTCACTGCTCTCAATATTTTAGTGAGGTGTAAAGAAAGACAGGCTTTTTGAACGCCAAATTTTATTCCGAAGTGAAATGTATGGCGATATAGAGATCCGATGTTTGCATATTTTCAATCACACCGCGTACAATATGCTTGTTTAAATTCTTAAAAAGAAATACCAAAAAAAAAACGATTAAAACTGATCTGACTTATTCATTTAAGAATAACTTTAAAAAATATTTGTAACAACAAAAATAAATCGAATAGCTATACAGTGTAACCCTGAAACAAATAAAATATTTGATTTATAAATATATGACAATTTACAATGTATACGCAAGTTAAACGTTCCTTTTTTTCTTTTAATTAAATCGGAAGATTACACTAAAAATTACTGGGAATAACGCCGCAGGTGTAAATCTTTATTTATTTTGGCACAAGTCTTTGTCTTGCAGTTTAATGATGTAATACGAGTAAAGTGCAAAATTATTTGGATCAATGAAATAAAAATATTAGAGACATTTTATAGTACACATTTTATTTTATTGCCATTTCAAAAAAAATATTCATTGATTTAAAAAAAAAATGATGTTGGTTAATAACGTTACAAGTATTTAAGATTGAATTATGGTTAGTAAGCATGAATCGTTTTTATAGAGCTAGAAGGAGAAACACTGTGAGAAGACTTTGCTACACTAATGTGATAATATAAAAATATAGAGATAATATTTAGTAATAATCAAGCTCAAAAGCCTATTAAAACAATGCGGATTGGAAGGAGAGGACATATGAATTTTTCTAAATACAAGGAATGGGATCAGGTGCCACACAGGAGTAAGTCATCTTATTCAGTTTCTGCAGAGAAAAAAATCATAATTGATTGTGCCTCATAACCGTTGAAATTCAATAATGAATTATTATTGCGTATTATTATTTTTTTTAATTTTGTATGGCAGTCATCATTTAAACCTATAAACATCTAGCTTATATATGAGCATGACCGGCCAAAAAAAATGTAAAATTCACTACATTTTGTTTCCATGAGTACATGAATGTTCAAAAGCAACCTTCAATGAATTGTTTGAGATTCATTACTTTCGGCTTCAAGTGCTCAACACATTGTTTGGCGTATTGCATGCTATAATTATGCAACATGGAATTTATCTCAGAATTTTTTTCTCTTAACACCCAATAAGCAATCTCTCCACAGAAATAAAGCAAACAATGTGATTTGTTGTCTACAAAATTTCCCCCAAAAATTACTTTTTCTCGAAGTATAGGATTCATGTCATCTTGCAGATTAATCATTTTATAAACCGAAATATTTGCCTAGGGTAATGAAATAATCAAATCCGTATACATTTGTTAGCAACGCAGTTTTAAGGGGAATGAAAATAAATATACTTGTGGCCAATTACTATGAGAAAATTAAACGTCAGATATTTACAGTTCCTCCATGTCTAACGGGCTGCAATAGCAAGCATCCGGTGTCACCTATGAAGAAGTCAACGATATTGAAAAGAAAATAAGAGCAAGGGTCAATTTAGTAGAAGAGGAGTGTCTATCGAACAATTAGTCATACTACTAGAATTAATGTATGATACTGTAAGATGGGTACTTTTGTAACTTCTTAACATGGACGGTAATTTTGAAGCAGATTCATAAATATAGCATCGTGTTGATGTACCCGAGTAATTTTAAGTGTTTAAAATAGAAGATGACTTTCAAAGCCATTAGGGCTTTATTTGTATCAAAGTGAAAAGAATCCAAAATGACGGAATTACTGAAGACTAAAACAAAGATCATTGTGCTTCTTTTTTCTAAAAAAAAAAACCCAGAGAATAAGAGAAATACTAGTTATGTTCTCCAGTGTAATTTTGCAAGTTCACTGAAGCTAGTTTTTTTTTTTGCTCATACTTATAACAATATATAGTTAATATCATATCCATATAAAAGTAACACAAAAAACAGATCTGATGGATAAATTTGTCATTTATTATACATGTATAAACAACAAAAGAAAATCAAAAGATAAATCAGTCTTACACCACTCTTACACAATACATTACTAAAAAGTTATGTGTAAATACAAAACATTAGTTAATCTCCCCAAATATATCAAATTACATTAAGAATATCCAAATTAACAATCAAGTATCCTAGTAGCATAAGTTCACATAATGAATTATGGTGAGAAACTTTGGATTTTACTTGCATGTTTTAATTAAAACTGTTATTATCTATTATACGGGTCAAATAATTTCGTGTCTTATATCCATTTTAGCTCTTAAGTATATCCTACAATGTTTGATTTAGGATAATCATACTGTAGATTTCCAAATTTCGCAGCACTTTTTTTTCGCGAGAAAATTGTTAACTCTTTATTGGCGAGTCTAATTTTTTTAGGAATTGTGGTAAGTTCTCTATATTATTTTAAAGATAAATAATTTCCGCGAAAATGATATGTTTATTAATTTTCGACCAAACTAATAACGCGAAAATAAAGTTCTTGTTTATTGAGAATGATTTACAGATTTTTTATTTATTAAAAGCTTACTTGTCTATTAAAACCTCAGCTTAAAATTCTTTTTTTTTAAACTGATAATTACATTAATTAAAAAATTAATTATAAGTAATGAAAATAATATCTTTAATTCAACAAGGGATACTTTCTTCTCCAAGGCACCTAATCCCACCTCTGGAATTTCAAAAGGTCCATGTTTTATGTTTTGTTCACATATTTGTATTGTTTATTTATCTTTTAAGATCGACCACGGATCATTATCTTCATCTTTTACATCATAATACATGTATAATTAATAATTAAATAATTAATAAATTAAAAAAGAATAATGATAAGATGCAGTGCCCCTAGTTTCCAGGGTTTTTTTTTTCATGTCGATAATTTTTGTTTGAAATTGAACCCATTTCGTTTCAAAATATTTATATCTTTATTAATGATTATAGACATGTACCGACCTTTTCATAGATGAAGATTTTTTTTTTAACTCTACAAGCATTAAATTTCAAGCTTAAATGCTTCTCCTGAATCACTTTAAATTCCTTACTGATGAAAATAACTTATTGCATGGCTAATTTTTGATCAATTCTGATAAGTTTTGCCTTTATGATGTCGTATATGAAAGAACTCATAAGAAACTCCTGAATTTGTAAATGTATTTTGTAATCTCCCTTTCTTTCGTAAGAGACCATTTTTTTTTAAAACATCAATTAAAATTGTTATATTTAAAGATATTTTGTGTCAAGATAGGTTTGAAAAAGCCAAGGGGTGTTCAACAAGTCAAATACATAAATAGATAGTAAGTGAGAGGAAATAGGGGTATAATAATATGTCGGTAAACCTAATTATAAAATAAGAGTATGTGACAGTCCTGGCAGGTCCTATAGCCTCCTTCAACCTGATGAATATAGTACCTGTATTGATAAAGTTAACATGAAGAATACAACTTCTTATGATTATGACCAGCTTCTACCCTATGAAAGTTACATGTATGAAGACTACAATGCTATCGAAATATTTTATCAATATGTGAAGACTTGGAAAAAATATATTGATGGACATTTGTATTTTATATTTGGAATACTGACAGTGTTTTCAAACTTCGGACTAATTTACGGAATAGTCGATCGGAAGAGCGTCGCTCCTACGACAATACTATTGCTTTGTCTAGCAGTGTCCATTTCCGTGAGCTGCCTGTCTATATTACCGACTTCCGTGTTTCTGATGGTGTGGGGGAACGAGATCGGGAATCCCCCAGACTGGTGGTGTAGCGTGTTTGGTATAGCGGACACGATAGACGACATTGCCGTGGCATTCAGTAACTGGACAACCGTCAGTCTTGCTGTGCAGAGGTGCATTGTTGTACTGCAACCTTTTAAAGCTGCTACTTTGCTTACGGTGAAGCGTGTGCTGATAACACAATTTTGTATTTTTACTGCGTGTGTTGTTCTACAAATTTATTCATGGGTAACATTGGATTTACTAAATGCAGAAATAACTACATTTGGATTGACATATTATTCATGTCTTTTCAATTTTCGAAAAGATTTGCCTCTTACATCGTCTAGAAAAGCAAATTTTATCAATGAATTGGCAAAACATGCATTGCAGTATGTGTTTCCGTGTCTAATTTTGATAGTATCTACAATCATACTTCTTTATAGGTTATATAAGGACCAACCATTAATGAAAGGATTTTCAGATTCATGGATCGGCGGATCTAAAATGAAAAACACTCGTGTGACAAAAATAACCAAATTTGTTTTGGTGACCTTGATGCTGTTTCTAATCAATCAAGTACTATACACTGCCATATTCAGTATTTATATGCACGAATTTCTCTTCGATGAAGTAATAATTTCAGAGGAAACTGATTCAATCCTTCAAACATTTTTAAATCTTGTTAACCTCATTACTTATCAAGCAATCTTTTGGATATTTGTGTTCATGAGTGAACGGTTTCGTCGAGCCATTAAAATGCGATTTAATAACGTCTCACTGAAGAAATGTCCATCACACTGTGTGCACCTACCAAGTTAAGACGACTGGGTGGTTGTGGCCATTTAAGACAAATATTTATATCCTTTAGAAGAAGATCGTCATATAAAGATATAACAAATTCATTGCCAAATGATGTTTAGACAGGTAAAAATGTCAGATCTAAAATAAAATCAGTTATATCTGATGGTTTATATGTTGATCGATCCCAGCCTCCTTAATTCAATGGTTTAGAATACTTAGTACAATTAATGTATGTACATATATCGACAAATATGTAGGAAGATTGATATGATTTTTTTACGGACAGGGTGTTGTCGTTTAGGTAATTTTCGTCGATTTAAATAACCTTAAATTCGTTATTTTACTGAACCAAAAAATGAAATAAAAGACTTAAAATGAAAAATGGAAACGTTGAAAAAAATGCTTGCAATTAAATGCATGGAACCAAAGGATATAGCAGATATATTCAGTACCAATTAGATTATGCAAATAATGAATACCAAATGGCGTGTTTTATGATTTTCTTGAAGCTAGAGGGAAATAAAAACCCGTTGTCCTGCAGAGCCAGTAAGGGACAACTAACAGGAATGAGAATCAAGACTGACATTTTTTTAAATGTCCTAAAATCTTAGAAGTAATAACTTTTGCATCTATTAAAAAGTATTTTTAGGTCATATTTACAAAAAAAAAACTGCCTTAAAGAAGAGATAAAACCTGTGTACTTAGATCCTTAACTGGCCTTATACAGAGAGAAAGACGGGACTAATTACTAGTATCCACTAAATCCTTTAATGGTTTTTAATTTGTCTGATATTTGAAAAAAAGAGTAGAAACGGTGAATTAGGATCCTAAGTTGACACAAGCATAACCTGCCTGACATATGATAAAGAAACTTTAAGGTAGAACAAGTCTGCTTGGATCATACACTGACATGTCTGACTGAGAAAAATTCAACAGAGACAGTCAAAATCCGTTTTACGAGGGTTGATCCAAAAGTAATGTCACAGTGTCCATATCTTTTATATTTGGCGTCTTAATATCAAATACAATATACCAAAAGATGCACAAATATAAATCTAATTAACACTGAAATTTGAATTTAATAAAAATAAATGTTTATTTGAATTTATTTTATAGATGTTTGAATTATAGAGCATTGGATGTGTCGCCGCGTCACAACGGAACGTCACTTTTTAAAGTTTTTTTTTTCTTAGAATGAAAAAGACAAACACATTAAAAAGATTCTAAAAAAGCACCTAATCTCCCAATATCTTAAGACACAATTCTCGTCATTTTCTAGTCTTTAATTGAAAATTAAATGACGGCATTGGTATTGGTGATCATCAACATTGTTGTTTTACTCTCACTGTGAATTAAACAAAGGGATTTTTGAAATGGGAAAAAAAAAAACGCCTCAACGAGTTGTAATGCATTTTTGCTTCAAATAGGGGAATCATCACAAGCGACACTTATGTTTCTTAATCATATTAATCTATATTTTAATATAACTTGGCACACAAGCAGACTACACTACGATACATCAAATATTGCATCGGTTTTTGATTTCGATGAACGGTGTTGCCATGGTTACTAAAAATAAAATTTCTGTGAAATTTCTTTATAATGCTACTTTTTTTTTTTACAGTTTTGGTCTGATTTCAATATTATAACTTGGCATGCGAGTAGACTACACTAAGATTCATAAAATAGTGCATCGGTTTTTGATTTTGATGAACGGTGTTGCCATGGTTACTAAAAATAGTATTTTCTGTGAAATTCCTTTAAAACGCAACTCCTTCTACAGTTTTGGTCTGATTTCAATATTACTTGGCACACAAGTAGACTGCACTTAGATACATATAATAGTGCATTGGTTTTTGATTTCGATGAACGGTGTTGTCATGGTAACTAAAAATAGAATTTTCTGTGAAATTCTTTTAAAACGCTACTCCTTCCACGGTTTGGTCTGATTTCAATTTTACTTGGCACACAAGTAAACTACACCAAGATACATAAAATAGTGCATCAGTTTTTGATTTCGGTGAACAGTGTTGCCATTGTTACTAACCAGAAGTCTCTGTCGAGACTGAAGCTCTACTGGTTTGTACTTATAGCAAAGGAAGAGAAAAGTACTTTTAAAAGCGAGACTTAACAACAGCAATAAATAGAATAATGATCCTTGATTATGTCTCCTTATGTTCTTAGTGTAGTCTAATTGCATGCCACATTATATTATAATCAGACTAAAACTTAGCTGCAGATCTGTAGCTCTCCGAAAAAAATTATTGATAGACCGGAGAGCTACAGTGCCACCCATTGAAAAAACTGTATATTTATTGCGCACCAAAAAGTGCACTCGGTTCTTGATTAATTCTTCCAAATTCTTACCTCAATTGCTAAAAAAGGAAGATTTTTAAAAAATTCTTTCTCCTCTATCAAGTATTCTCGTAGTTGACATCTAAACGAAGCATATTGGACCGAATTATCTTTGAAACCAAAATGGCAGTATAAATAAGCGAAATGGTCTATGATTACAATATCAGGGTTAGGAGGACTATTAACAACAATTATGAGGAATGTTTGGTTCTGGAATCAGCAAAAGAATATGTAAGGAACATACGGTTAGTAATATTTTGAGTTCACAATTTTAAAAACATTGAGAAATAAATCGAGAACCGAGCGCACTTTTTCGTGCGCAATAAATATAATAGTTTTTTCAATGGGTGGCTCTGTAGCTCTCCGGTCTATTCAATATATTTTTTGGAGAGCTACAGAACTGCAGCTAACTAAAACTGTATTTGGAGTACTAAACATTTTGAGAGCATTTAACAGAAATTTCTATTTTTAGTAACCAAGGTAATAATGTTCATCGAAGTCAAAAACCAATATACAGAATTGTGCATCTTAGTGTAGTCTACTTGTCAGGCAAGTTATATTGAAATCAGACTTAACCTGTAGGAGACGTAGCATTTTGAAAGAATTTCACAGAAATTTCTATTTTTAGTAACAACGGCAACACCATTCATCAAAATCAAAAACGGATATACAGAATTATGTACCTTAGTAGTCTACTTGTGTGCCAGGATATATTAAAAACTGACCAAAACTGTAGAAGGCGTAGCATTTTGAAAGATTTTCACCGAAATTTCTATTATTATTAACCACGGCAAAACCGTTCATCGAAATCAAAAACCGATACACAGAATTATGTATCTTAGTGTAGTTTAGTGTGCCAAGTTATATTGAAATCAGACCAAATCTGTAGGATTAGTAGCATTTTAAAAGAATTTCACAGAAATTTCTATTTTTAGTAACAACGGCATTAACACCATTCATCAAAATCAAAAACCAATATGCAGAATTGTGTATCTTAGTGTCATCTACTTGTTTGCAAAGTTATACTGAAATCAAACCAAAACTGTAGGAATAGCATTTTGAAAGAATTTCACAGAAATTTCTATTTTTAGTAACCACGGCAACACCATTCATCGAAATCAAAAACCGATACACAGAATTATGTATCTTAGTGTAGTTTTGTGTGCCAAGTTATAATGAAATCAGACCAAATCTGTAGGAGTAGTAGCATTTTGAAAGAATTTCACAGAAATTTCTATTTTTAGTAACCACGGCAACACCGCTTATCAAAATCAAAAACGGATATACAGAATTATGTGTCTTAGTAAAGTCTACTTGTTTGCCAAGAAATATTGAAATCGGACCAAAACTGTAGGAAGAGTAGCAATTTGAAAGAATTTCACAGAAATTTCTATTTTTAGAAACCACGGCAACACCGTTCACCGAAATCAAAAACCGATACACAGAATTATGTATCTTAGTGTAGTCTACTTGTGTGCCAAATTATATTGAAATCAGACCAAAATTGTAGGAGGAGTATCATTTAGAAAAATTGTTTATGGACGGACGGACGCCAGACGCATTACTATCGCAGTAGTAGCAAGTTTTGGTCTGATGGCAATGACTTCTTTTCTCATCCTTTGTTAGAAGTACAAACCAGTAGAGCTACGGTCTCGACAGAGACTTCTGGTTAAGTTTGTCTGATGCTACTGTTAAAAAAATTGACAGAGGGCTTTATTATGAAAAGAGTGAGTGTATAATGATACCAAAAATTTTTAAAGAAAGGGAAATTGGTGAAAGTGTTTGAAAATCACAAATATTTTTTAATGAAACGAAGGGGAAACGCTTAAAAGTATGACGGTGCTTATCTGTTATATTCAAGTGTGGCGACTATCATAAACGCACATTGTTTAAAATACGATATTTTGGAAGGTAAACACGATATTCCTTTGAATTTTGCAGGAAACTAAGAAATC